TGGGCAAGCAGTTAGCTTCTCTGATGCTCAGTTTCTTTATCTGCACGTTGACTAGAGCATACCTTCCTCATGGATTTGTTGTGAAGATTAAATGTTCCCATGCGTGTAAAGTGTCAGGAGACATCAGGGCCCAGCAAAACTAGAGCTTGGGTGGATGATACTGTAATGGGAGAAGAAGTGCTGTCACTCACCCAGAGGAAAGTGAAACCTCAACGGGTTTGGCTCCCCAGGGTCTTTGAGTGGCAGGACCAAAAGATGGCCTGGAGTCATTTCCCTGACAGATTTGGAAAAGGTTAATACTCCCAGGCAGCCTAGTCCCTGCTGCTTCTGATGGGCGAACTGGAATCACTCGAGGCCGCAGTTGACAGCCAGTTCATTCTGCTGATTCATCCATTAGAGGGTGGCTTTGAGCCAGAGCTTGGCTCCTAGATTAAAGGCTGAGAGCTGCAAAGCTGCTGGGACTGGAGGGAACGCTGGTAAATTACTGCCATGTGAAGGCCGGCAGTGCAAAGTGGATCGTTACTTATTTCCCCTTTTAAGCAATCCTAATTCCACATGTGCTGAGGTGCATTCTCACACCCCCATTAGGGAGTTGTTTGTGACGTTTGTCCATGGGGCTGAGAGCTGAATTATTGGGGACAGTCATATGCAGTTAAACAGGTCCTCTGAGTTCCTGTATGTTCCTGTCATCACCTTTGCTTTCGTGGCAGATACTGACCCAAGCCTGCTGTCTCACACGGTGTCTTGGTTCCCTGGTGCCACTCTAACAGAAATACCACCGGTGGATGGCTTTGACGAACAAAAGTGTATTCTCACAGTTCAGGAAGCCAGAAGTCCAAATTCAGGGTGCCAGCTTTCTCTCCCTGCCAGCTCTGGGGGAAGGTCCTTGCTCCTTTCAGTATCTGTGGGCCCAGCGTTCCTTGGAGAGCCCCCCATGTGTCTCGATCTTCCCCTGGGTTTAGGAGCTTCTCAGCACCGAGAACCCAGCTCCAAAGGATGCACTCTGCTCCTGCTTCTCCTTTCTTGGTGATAATGAGGTCCCTTCTCTCTGCTCATTTCTCTCTGTGCATCTGTAACATAAAAAGTGATGCAGGCCACACCCCAGAGAAGCTCCCCTTACATCAGATCAGGGCTGTGACCTCAGTAAGGGTGTTGCATCCCACCCTGATCTTCTTGCAGCTGATTGGTGATCCCATCATGGGGCCTGATTACATCATTACATAATGGCAAACCATGAGAATCATGACCCAGCCAAGCTGACACATATTTTGGGGGATGCAGTTCAACCCATGACATTGTACCCTTTGACCTCAAATACTTTTGATTTAAATTCATATCCTTGCCACGTGCAAAACACTTTCACTCCGTGATACCCTGATGTCATCCCAAAACTCATAAATCAACTCCAAGTCCAAATTCCATCACAGGGCAAAATTCCTCTGTGAATCTAGAATACAAGCTGTCTGCTTCCAAGGACAGTGGTGGGACAGAGACAAGGTAGACATTTCCATCACAAATGGGAGAGAGCAGAGGGAACGAAGGGAAAACAGGCACCAAGCAAGTCAGAAACCCAGCGGAGCAATTTGCATTCATTCTCAAGGCTTGAAGATTGTTGTCTGAGACCATGTAGGCAGTGGCCCCGCCCTGGAGACTCTGGGTGTTGACTCATCGGCCTTGGCCTTGGGCTTTAGCTCTGCCTTCCAGGCCCGCTGAAACAGCAACCCTGCATCCGTAGCTTTGGGCAACCCCTTCTCCTAGTCCAACTGCTTGGCAACCCCAGCCCCTGGGCCCCCAGCAGGCCCTGTGGGCATAGAAGCTCTGCCCCCTCTTTGGGCTGTAGATCTGGCCCCATCCTCCTGACACTTATGACAGCAAAGCTGTACAGCGGAACCAAGGGGTGGAAGAAGGTTGTTCTGAATACCAGTTATGGCCATGTGACTATTTGTAGAAATGAGGACTAATTATTATGAGTATTTCTTCCTTATTTTATTATATGCATGTGTTTGTGTGTGTGTATACATTGTGTGTGTGTGTGTGTGTGTGTGTGTAGCAATTATTTCTGCTTTCTTCCCTGCCTTATAAAATACAAGATGTGAACAGGGCCTAGTATGTTCTTGATCGTGTGCATGTTAGTTGTATCACATTAGAGGCAGGTATGACTTTTTAATTGTTTTTAGTTAGAGACTATGTATGGTTTAAAGAGATGTATACAGGTGTGCCACATTGACACACATTTTGGAGGTTACATTTCAATCCATGTGACTTGATGATCCAAACTAAACCTGAGAGAAAGAATGCCGAGGATGCCATCCCTTTGGGCATGCTCACAGAACTTGAAGAGAAAGATCCAGAAAGTGCTCACTGACCAGCAGTGGGTACAGATAATGATGGTAGGCTCTGTGGTTCTCAGTGTCCATCACACTGATAGATGACCCTGGCTTAGTAGGCAGCCTCAAATATACAAGGAAATCAATTCTACATACAGCCTGTATGAGATGGGGTGAGCGTAAAGAGGGTGGCCAGTGCGTCTTGTTTTACCAGATACCCAGCACAGTCCCTGGGACAAAAGCCACTCTGCCAGGAATTGGATGGAAGAAAGAATGGACAATGATGGGCAGCTGTTTGCAAAGCCAAGGCCTAGATCAGGGATCAGACATCAAAGGACAGCTTCAGTGTTAGGGCGGCCCGTTTACGGCGATGGAAAAAAAAGGAAGGGCGGTCTCACCTCCTTTTGTACTTTCCATTCATTTCTGCTGGCCCCAAGTCTTTGTCTTCTCTCCAAGCCCCATGGTTGGGTGAGCACCCCGTGCCAAGCCGGGGGAAGGGGGACGCAGTGCTGGGCAGAATTCTCCAGGCTGTGGCCGCTTGGTTTTCTCCCTTCCCCTTTGATTATGTAAGAGCTGCTTTGTTTTAACTTACTTCTATGATCTTGCAAGTAAGAAGGCAAAAGGAAGAGAACATGTGCCTCTTTTACTGGAATAATGTTTATGATGACATGTGAATTAAGGTACTTTTTAATCACCACCAAGTCAACCTTGGCTTGAAATCCTGTGTCATGAATACTGACATCTATATTTTAGTGATCAATATCAATAATATATTTTCTGATGAGAAAAGGAAAAGGATAAAAGGGTGATGTTTGTTGGTTATGTAAATTATTGAGTGGTTGGATAAATGAATAAAAAAGTCAGACATATGGCACTTAGAAAGCAGGAAGAGTAATTGTGCTGAGGAATAGGTTTTCCAGAAGGGCCCTGTCTCTGTGACCCGTGACCTCCGATAGGAGGGACTTGGTCGATACATAACTGCGCACAGGCTGCTGTCCCTGTGTCACCTTGTGGATGGTCAGAGCATCCCCATGCGAGCTTGTACCACAGGCTCTCCCTCTACCTCTTTGGGAGACTGGATAATATGAAAGTTCTTTGATATTTTGAGTTTCTTCCTTTTTTTTTTTTTTTTTGCCTCTTCTTTTACTTTAGAGTGAATGTTTGAAAAGTAAAGTAAAAAAAGTAGTAAAAGGTTGTGTGTGTGTGTTTTTTTTAAGGAAGTGGAGGTTTCTTTTCCTTGTTTGTTTTGATTGGTTTTTCATTGTGGCTAAATATTTGGAATAGGCCACTCTCTAAGCCAGCGTTGTCCTGAGGAGTTGTAGGCCCACCCTCTGCACTTGCAGTAAAGATGTAAGAGCACTGGGTGTCAGGTGCACAGAGCGTCTGTTCTCACGCAGTTGTCTCTTCCTGTGTCTTCTGATCCAGGGTGTCCTGGGCCCCTCGTCCAGTTGTGCTGTGCTCGGCTTCCTTGCTTGTCACCACTTGTCACATTCTACCATGTATTTACTCACTTGGGCACTACGCCACCAGAGCTCCACCTAGGAAACCCTGTGGGGCAGTTCTGCTCTGTCCTGTAGGGTCACTGTGAGTCAGAATTGACTTCACGGCACACGGCAACAACAGTTCTGCATAAGAACTCGGCTTGGTGTTGCTGACACCAGCCTGTCTTAGTCGTCATGGTGTTTTTGCAGCTACCCAGGTCTTAGACATGACTGGGCTCTTCTGGTCCCACTGCCAGTCTGGGCGAGTGAGCAGAAGTGTTGGCAGTGACAGTGGCTGGGAGAGGTTCCTCCCGTTGGTCCTCTCTCCCACGCCACCAGTGTGTTCCATCCAGCAGCCCCAGAAGAGGAGAAGGCATGGGATGAGACCAGAGCTGACCTGGCCGTAGCCTCAAGCGTGAACACTGAGGGACTAGGCTCTAGCTTTTAAGGACTGTGGCCACACGGTCCAATTCACAGAGAATTGGTAGTCTGGAAGCAAAGCAGTCTTTCAAAACGGAAGGAGAAGAGGCGTGTCGGGCATGTCTCAAGTATTGTGGCAATGTCTTCAATCCGCGGAGTCCAGACTGTGGCACAGCGTGGCGAGGAGGACCCTGGTGTTGGGGTCGGAGCAGCCTGGCTTCACATCAGCCTGCCACTCATCAGCCGTGTGGCCCCTGTGACCCAGCTTCTCATCAGTACAAATGCTTCTTGTGAAGATCAGATATAATATGGGCACAGAGCCCAACGCAGAAGAGACCTTTGGTGTTTGATGCCGTTATCACCACTGTCATAATTGCTATGAGTATAATCTTTATTTTTACCAGTAAGTGTAGATTTACAGTTTTCCCTTTGTTAATTTGTTGGATTTTCTTATTCTGAAAATGAACAATTTTCAAACAGTAATGTTAGTGGAAAATCACTTGAAAGTTATTAATCGTTTGCATCCATTGTTCTGGTTGTCTACAGAGCACATTCACATGCCGGGGGCTTGGAGAGCTGTGACTCTCTCAAGTCTCCAGACGAGGAAACACAGGCTTGGAGTGTTCATGGGATGTGCCCAAGGTCACCTGGCTTCTGAGAGGCAGAGCCAGGCTAGAGCCTGGACCTGAACCCAGGGCCCCTCTGCCTGCCTTGGGCTACCTTCCCAGGAGTGGCATCAGACTCTTGTAAGCAATCTCTCTTTTCTTTGTAGCTGTCAATACCAGCAGATACGCAGAAAGCTATCGGATCCAGACCTACGCTGAGTATGTGGGGAAGAGACGTGAGGAGAAGCAGGTCAAGAGGAAGTGGACTGAAGATGGTCGGAAGGAGGTGGAGAGGAAGCGGCTGGACACTCAGTGCGTTTCCTATGCTGTGCAGAACCACTGTCCCCGCGCCAACAGGTAAGAGTACTTGGCTGTTGATTAAGGACCTCACTCGTTTTAGCGGTGGCCTTTCTCGTTCATTCTCATGGGACTGTGATAATAATCTGCCTTTTGAAAAAGACTTTTTTCCTAACTTGTCACATCATTTCAGAAATGATGACTGCATCAAGGCCTTATGTGTTAGAAATTGCTTTACAGACCACAGCTGTTTCAGTTACGCCTCACCAAGTGACCTGGAGGCAGACGGGATACATCTTACTCCTGATTTAGCCAGTTGCCATTGAGTCAGTTCCAACTCATGGTGATTTTGTGGGTGTCAGAGTAGAACTGTGCTCCGTAGCATTTCATAGGCTGTGGCCTTCTGGAGGCAGATAGCCAGGCATGTCTTGCAAGGCACATCTTGTTGGATTTGCACAACCAGCCTTTTGGTTAGCAGCCACGCATGTTGAGCATTTGTGCCACTGCAGGGCAGCAAATTGCTTCGTGTGGCCCTTCTAGCCATCGTCTTCCATTTTGTGTTTGTTGTAAATCCTAGTCTCTGTGCCTGCTTAGGGTGGGATGCACCTGAGTGCCCTGGCTGGAGGGTGTGACTCAAGTCAGCACCCTTAGCTTCCTGGAGGGCACGTAGTATGTGAATGTGCTGGGAAAGCTCCTCCTCTTGCTCTGGGGCCTGTGTCTGGTTCATCCTCATCTCATCCCTGGGCGTGAGACAGCAGCTGCTCATCTGACCCACCGGTTTGGGTTCGCCAGCCCCTGCAGCCAGGCAAGTGGGAAGGATCCTCCAGACCTACCCATGGACTTGGGACTTCCAATCTCCCAGCATCTACCATCACCACATGGGCCATTTCCTTGGGAGTCTATGAGTTCTGTGAGCCATTACAGCGAAGTACGGAACCGTAAGATGGGAGGGAGAGGACAGAGTGGAGAAGGAGGAGTGGTGCCAGAGATGACACAGTAGAGCAGCAGTTTGGAAAAGTTGGACATCGGACATCTGGGACGTCGTTAACCTCTGCCTCATAGCCTTGTTCTGATCTTTCTGAAAGAAATTACTCCAGTTTTAGGAATGAAGAAACAAGGAAACAACTCAGAAACATTGCCCACCAGTTCCGTGAGCTGGTGTGCTGAACTCCTGCATCTGATCCCTTCCTCTTAGTATTCAGGCCTCTGCCTGAGCCTCACATTTAAAAAAAGAAAAAAAATTCACTAATGTGGGGACAAACAGCAAAGTGGGAGGTATCTCAATCCTGGGTCTCAAAACCTACTATACAGCCACGGTAGTCAAAACAGCGTGGTATGGGTACAGTGGCAGACAGAAACCAGTGGAACAAAATCGAAAACCCGGAAATAAACTCATCCATCTATGGACAGCTGATCTTCAACAAAGGTCCAAAACCCATTAAGTGGGAAAGAGATAGCCTCTTTAACACATGGTACTGGCAAAATTAGATATCCACTTGTTTCCAAATGCCCTTGGTTTTTTTCCCCCTTCTTCGCTTCCAACAGTAGGAAACCATTAGCTGCATCTTAGGAGCTCTGGTAGCATACTGCCTAAGGCACTTGACTGCTAACCAGAAGGCTGGCGGTTCAAACCCACCAGCCACTCTTTGGAAGGAAGGTTGGGCAATCTATTTCCGTAGTGATACTACCTTGGAAACCCAAGGAGGGGTCGCTATGAGTTGGGGTTGACTCAACGGCACATAAGAACAACAACAGCTGCATCTTAGATGGCCGCTTGAAAACTTTTAAGACCCCGGTCACTACTCACCGATGTAGGTTGTGGAACAAGATTTTTATGCATTTTGTTGTGCCAATTGAGTTTGGTGTCACCAGTACTATGGTCCTGAGTTGGTAGATCTATTGGATCTCTCTCCCACAGTGTCTGGCTGTCTGTGAGGGATTGCTCTATGTCTGTCTTCTGTTGTTTTCTGTAATGATTGAGGGTATTTTGTATCTGGTATCTGTGCAAGATTAGCGTCAGCTGAATCTGTCTTAGGTCTAGAGTATAATCTTGTTCACTGACTCCCATCTGATCTCCTCAGCTGTCTGTGTGTTTATATGTAGCCTGGTGTTTGGTGTTAATGGTAATGCAGTATTGTAGATATACTGGTCTTCATCCTCTCTTGTCTAAATCTTACCTGCACAATTCATCGTCCTCCCTTTCCCCATTGTTACATGCTTGTCACAGCCTCTTTGCATATCATCCTTCCCCTTACCCACCTCAGCATATGGCCTCCAACTAGCCTGAAATTTTCCCCTCTCCTTCCCTTCCCTCCCCAGTAACCTACAGAGTGAGTTCCCTTCCTTAAGCAAACCATTCCTTGTCTTTTTACAGTAATGGGCTCACACGATATTTGTCCTTCTGCAGTTGGCTGACTTCACTCGGCATAGTGTCATCCAGATTCATCCACGTTGTGAGATGATTCACATATCCTCCATTGTTCTTCATTGTAGCATAGTATTCCATTTTGTGAATGAATGTACCATAGTGTGTTTATCCATTCATCTGTTGATGGGCATTTAGGTTGTTTCCGTCTCTTTGCTATAGTGAATTGTGCTGTGATGAACATGGATGTGCATATGTCTGTTTATGTCCTGTCTCTCACCTTTTTAGGATGTATTCCTAGTAATTGAATGGTTGGTTCAAATGGTATTTCTGTTTAGAGTTTTTTAAGGAAACGCCATACCATTTGCCACAATGGTTGTACCATTTTACAGTCCTACCAGCAGTGTATGAGAGTCCTAATCTCTCCACAACCTTGCCAGCATTTGTTATTTTCTGTCTTGTTGAACTTTGCTATTATTGTTGGTCGAGATGATATCTCATTGTTGTTTTGATTTGCGTCTCTCTACTGGTAGCATAGTGGCTAAGACACTTGCCTGCTAACCAGACGGCTGGCGGTTCAAACCCACCAGCCACTCCTCGGAAGGAAGGTTGGGCAATCCTACTTTCGTAGTGATACTGCCTCGGAAACCCAAGGAGGGGTCGCTATGAGTCAGGGCTGACTCGACGGCACATAACAACAACAAATGGCTAATGATCGTGAGCAATTCCTCATGTGTTTGTTGGCCACCAGCATATCATCTTTAGAGAAGTGTCTGTTCATGTCCCTCGCACACTTTTGAATTGGATTGTTTGTCTTTTTGGTGTTGAGGAGGTGAAGTTTTCTATAGATTTTGGAGATAAGTCCTTTGTCAGATATGTCATAGGCAAATATGTTCTCCCAATCTGTAGTTCTCTTTTTACCCTTTTGACGAAGTCTTTCGGCACACATAAGGATTTAAGTTTTAGAAGGTCCCAGTCACTTAGCTTCTTTTCCACCTCCTGTGCATTCTGGGTCATGCTTGATAGTCTATTTATGCTGTTAAATTAGGGCCGTTAGATTTGCCCCTATTTATCTTTGATGAATTTTATAGTTTTGGGTTTTACATTTAAGTCTTTGATCCAACTTGAGTTTGTTTTTGTGTACAGGGTGAGGTATGAGTCTTGCTTCATTGTTCTGCAAGTGGATATCTAATTTTTCCAGTACTATTTGTTAAAGAGGCTGTCTCTTCCCCACTTAATGGGTTTTGGACCTTTGTTGAAGATCAGCTGTCCACAGATGGAGGAGATTATTTCTGGGTTTTCAATTCTATTCCATTGGTCCATCTGTCTAGCATTGTACCAATATCACACTATTTTGACTGCTGTGGCTGTATAGTAGGTTTTGAGATCCAGAATTGTGAGACCTCCCACTTTGTTCTTCTTCTTCAGTAGTGCTCTACTTATCTGAGGTCTCTTCCCTTTCCATATGAAGTTGTTAGTAATTGGTTTTTCCATGTCCTTAAAAAATTTTGTTGGCATCTGGATCAAGATTGCATTAAATGTGTAAATTGTTTTGGGTAGTATTGACATTTTCACAATATTCAGTCTACCTATCCACAAACAAGGCAGGTTCTTCCATTTATGGAGAGCCCTTGTTGTCTCCTGTAGTAGTGTTTTACAGTTTTCTTTGTATGGGTCTTTTGTGTCTCTGGTAAGATTTATTCCTAGATATTTTATCTTTTTAGTAGCTATTGTGAATGATATTGTTTCCCTTATTTCTTTGTCAGAGGTCTCTTTGTTGATGTAGAGGAATCCATCTGATTTTTGTATGTTGACCTTGTATCTTGCCACTTTGCCGAACCTCTCTATTACTTCCAGTAGTTTTTTTGCTGAGTCTCTTGGGTTTTCTATGTATAGGATCATGTCATTTGCACACAGAGGTAGTTTTACTTCCTCTTTGCCAATTTGGATGCCTTTTATTTCTCTTTCTTGCTTTATTTCCCTGGCTAGGACTTCTAATACAGTGTTAAATAGAAGTGGTGACAGTGGGTATCCTTATCTGGTTCCCATTCATAAGAGGAATGCTTTGAGTCTTTTCTCCATTCATAATAATGTTGGCCATTGGCTTTGCATATATGCCCTTTATTATGTTGAGGAATTTTCTTCTATCCTTATTTTGCTGAGAGTTCTGAACAGGAACAGGTGTTGGATTTTATCAAATGCCTTTTCTGCGTTGACTGATATGACGATATGGTTCTTTTGTTTTGTTTATGTAGTGGATTACATTGATTATTTTCCTGATACTGAACCATCCCTGCATACCAGATATGAATCCCACTTGGTCAGGATGTATTATTTTTTTTGATATGTTGTTGGATTCTCTTGGCTAGAATTTTGTTGAAGATTTTTGCATCTATATTCATGTCAATATATTTTATTTCAGTTGTTTCTGTTGTGATATAACTCTTTGCACTTTTTATTCTTGTAATTTGAATCTTCTCTTTCTTTTCTTTTGTTAGATTGGCCAATAGTGTGTCTATTTTGTTCATCTTCTTGAAGAACTAGCTTTTTGATTTGTTGATTTTCTCT